CACATGCCTGGGCTGGAAGGCAAGACCACACCCTCTCTGCACAGAGGCAGTTACCTGGAGCTGGACAGGCTCTAAGTCCTCTCCTGCACCCGTACCGTGTAGGAGCACTGCCTTGGAGCCAGAGACCTCAGGCCCACCCTCGCCCTGACATACCTGATGCTGAATAAGCTGGGGTTGCTCCTGTGTAGTTTGGGAATTCTGGGGCCTAGGTAAGAGGGTGGGAGGAAGAACCTGTCCCAGGACTAGGTTTCAGTGGGTGATTTGGGTAATTTTGAGGAACTTTGAAAGGTTGGTGTGAGCGTGAAATAAGAAAATCTTTCGTAGCGCCTAACTGCACCAGCGCACAGTAGGTGCAGCACCCTACCATGAGTGTCCTTTCTGTCTCTCCCTCCCCGACCCCCATAGGCCAAGGGACCTGGAAGGAAGCTGAGACATATCCCTGGCCTCCTGGGCCAAGCAGATGCTGTGTCTCAGCTTTGGGATGACATGCAGAGGATGGCCCGCCACTGCTTCTGCTGCCCAGCCCTGGGCCCATGGTGGTGGTGGCTTTGTCACCCTTCACTAGCCTCATTAGGCAAGAGCAGGGAAGCAAAGTTCTCTGGTGAACTAGGGAGAGCACAGGGCCTTTTGTGCAGTCATTCGTGAATATTTACTGAGGGTCTTAGGTGTATTTGTGGGGCTTTTTCTTTTTAAAATCTTCTTTGTATTTTAATACTCTTTTTTGTGTGTATGAGAATATTTTTAAATTGAATAAAAACCTTTATGGTTTGGTGCTCAGGATTGAGCCTAGGGCCTCATACACAGAAAGCACATACTCTGCCACTGAGCTACACCCCCAATCCTTTTTTGAAATTTTTATTGAGCTAAGTGTAGTAAGAAATAACACAGATCCCAGGTCCACTTTGCCCAATGGTAGCATCTTTCAAGCTAGTGTAGTTCTGTATTACACCTGCGATATGGGCAGTGAGACAGCCCCCCATCTTATTTGGCTTCCCCGGGTTTCACATGCATGTGTGTGTGTGCATGTGCACACATGTGGGTGGGTGTGTATAGTGCCCTATGATTTTGTCAAATGTGTATCCATCACCACAATCAAGATACAAAACACTTCCATTCCACAAAGATCCCTTTTATAGCCAAACTTCCCTCTGTCTGCCTCTCCCCCTGTCCTTAAACCCTGGCTTTCAAATCTGTCCTCTATTTTCAAAGTGTTGTCATCTCAAAATGTTATATAAATAGAATCACACAGCACGTGACCTTTTGGGACTGACCTTTTCATTCAGCAAGATTCTCTAAAGATTCATCCAGGTTGTGACGTGTTAAGTTCATTTCTTCCCATGGTTGACAATTTTACAGAAGGATGGAGCATACTTTGGTTAACTGTTTATGCACTAAAGGACATCTGGATGTTTCAGCTTGTTCGCATGAATGTGCACATTCATGTATAGTTTTTTTTGTTCAAACATGAATTTTTCACCTCCCTGGGACAAATCCCCAAGAGTGCAGTTGCTGGGTTGTATGGTGGCTGCATGTTTAGTTTGCTAAGAACCTGACAAGCTGTTCTCCAGAGTGGCTAAAGCATTCCACACTCCCGCCAGCAAGGTGGGAATGGTCTAGCTTTACATCCTCACCGGCATTTGATGTTGTCACTCTTTTTTGTTTCAGCTGCTCAGATAGGTACTAGTGATTCCCATGGTGGTTTTCATTGCACTTCTCTGGTGGCTAATGGCAGTGGATACCCTTTCAGGTGCTGATTTGCTATCTGTATGTCCCCTTTGGTGAGATGTCTGTGAATGTGTTTTGCTCACTTTCTTACTGCGTGGCTTTTTCTTTTGCTGTGGAGTTTGGGGAGTGGGAGTCTCTTGGGTGCCAAGATCTGTGATGGGAAGAGCAGTTAACACACATAATCTCACAGAGCTAACTAATGGTCTGGGGGGGGGATGGAGAAAATGCACTGGAGAGCAGAATGATGGGCTAGGTTCAAAAAGGACATGTGACATGAAGAGTTACAGCAGATGCTGAGATAGGCGTACATGGGGGTGACCTTGATGTGGGGGAGAGCTCCCAGTGCCTGATTCCTTGAGCATCCAGGGGGACAAGTGTCCAGTGCAGGGAGCAGCAGGTGCCCAGGTGATGATGTAGAAGTAAGCTGGGCATGTGAGGAGCACAGTGAGGTAGGGGTGGGCACATGACATAGGGTTTGATTTGAAATGTGACAGGAAGCCACAACCAAAGGAGGGAGGGGATTTAATTTATGTTTGCATCTCCTCACTGCCCCAGTGTTCCTCAACTCTGTTGCCTTCCAGCACAGAAGCCCCACAGAGTGAGGGGACAATGGAGTCACCTCTTGGGGGGTCCCTCCCCTCAGCGCCTGAGAGCCTCACAGTCAGGATGAGGGCGCCCAGAGTGGCTATTTAACATTCCCTGACAGCTCCATCAGACCCTCTCCCAGACAGACATGTGTCAAATATTCATGAGGATGACCCGCAGTCACCCCTCTCTTCCCGCCCTTCCCCATAGTCTGATGGGCCCAGTTCATAGGTCTTGCTCCTCTGTGCTATTATGTGGAGAGGCTGTTCCCCCCTGCTTCTCTTTGGAGACCACCACTATCTCAAGAAGGGAGAAGATCACAGACCCTGCCTTGAGAGGCTCACAGGTGGCATCTCAGCCCCTCAGCCAGGTGGAAGAATCCAACCCAGGTGTCCCAACACCACCCTACACTGAGAAAAAGACTTTGGGGCCCCTTAGTTGTAGAAGGTACCAGGACACCCATAAATAGTTACTTTTGGAAGACTCTTGACAAGGTTCGGGGACTTGGGGACACCCCTTCCCCCAGAAACTTCTGAGACCTATCCAAGGACCTGGCCCTAGAAACAGCCACTTCGGAAGCCTGTGTCCAAGACCACCGAACTTTGGATCACACATTCAGTGTGGTCCTGGCATGTCCCAAAACTTCTCAGGGGCTTAATAACATCTGTAAAATAGGGTGGGTCTCCGGCTTCCTTGTGGGCCTCATCCACAGTCTCCCCAGGCAGATAGAATCACTATCAGGTGGAAGCCAGGGACACCCACCCACAGGGTCTCTCCCACACCAGCCAGGGCCTGAGGCTGTGAGACAGAAACCCCAGGTATATATAACCTAGGACCTCACACAGCAGCCCCTCCAGCCAGTACCGGTGCTGGGGTCTGGGACTTGCATCAAATAGCTACTGCCAGCAGCCCTGAGGGTCAGACCCACTCCCTTTCTCCTCCTCACCCTGTGCATGGAGGCTTCAGTAAGGAATTCATGAAATAATGAAGCACCAGATGCCTGTCTTGCCCCTGCCCCCTCCTTGACCCAAATACAGACTTTATTCATTGAGGCCATTTCTCTCCTCAGTAAGACCATTAATGATGGAGAAGGTGCCTCTTTGACCCAGGCAGGGCACGTGCAAGTGTGTGCAGACGTGCGTGGACACATGTTTGTGTATGAAGTGTGTGCGCACGGTATATATGTGTAGGGTGCTTCTCTCAGCACCCCTGGCCCCACTCTCCACCCTTTCTGCCCATCAGGGTAGCCTGTCCTACCCTTGCTGCAGCTTGGGGCACCACTGATGTCCCTCACTGCTGGATGAACCTTGGAGAAAGGGAGGAATGTGGGGATGCTACTGAGGATGTGAACTGGGGAGGTGGGGTGACAATGGTGAGCTGGGGACTTGGCAGCAGGGACCTAACTGAAGAAGCCTGAAAGCAGGATAAGGTGTTGGGACACCACTCTGCCTACGGCACCACTGCACCAAACACTGGCCAGGAAGAAGACTGGCTGCCTTGTCCCAAACCTAACTGGGGCCATGAGCCAATGAAGTCCCTGGAGTCTTCTGCCCTCACTGGAGCCTGTAGGATGCAGCAGACCCTCCCCAGTTAGGGGGGGTCTTCAGGTCTCTTATCCATGTGCAGGCACTTTCTGCAGAGGGCATGAAGAAAGAGCATGAAGTCTAGCTACTTGCTTTCCCCCTTCCCTTACAGCCAGACAGCAGTGTGTGGCCAGGGCTTTGACTTTGAACCTGAGCCAGTGACTCCACAGAGATGGCCCTGCAGCAGGGCATGGGGCCAGTGGTGGTCTCAGGCACAGCACCCCTGGGACAGGGCTCAGAAGTGGCAGTGTGCCCTCTTCTGGCCTCTTCTGACTGTGCTGCCTGGTTTTTTACCCCTCACCTTGGCTTTTTGTCCCTTCTGGAAGGGGGGAGCTGGGACTGGCCTGGGCTCCCTGTGGGTTGTTCTCTTCTCATTAAAATCCTTGTGGAACAGTCTCTGGCCATTCACCTGAGAGCCCGACTGGTACAGGGTGGCCTTGGAGGGCGGTGTCTGCAGAGTCCACCAATTCACCTCTGACTGTTAGTTACTCTGAACTAAATGCTTTTCAGCAGTGTATAAATACAGCACATGTGAAATGACCCTGGAAAGACATCCATAACCCAACACCCAGTGGCCCTTGGGCTGGCCAACCAGCCTGACCACTCAGAATGGTCCCCTTGGGGTATTTTTCCCCTTGCTGCTGGACCTCAGGCAACTTCCACGGATTGGATGGGTCTGGGGACTGCCTGGAGACTGTGACCTAATTGCCCAGGCCATTATCTGCGTCACTGCTCCCAAGCAGGAGGCAGGGCACAAAGGAGCAAAGAAAGCTGTCGGCCTGTGCCAGGTGTGGGCTTTAATGAGCAAGTCTGAGTTCACTTCTGGTCTTCCCCACGGCCCTCCCTCCTTTGAGGGCCCCATCCAATACCAGAGCCAGGGTGCAGAGTAGAAGAGACCTTTGGAGGGCTGGCAAGGTGGCCAGTACAGGGGAAGCAGAAGGTCATGGAGGCCACAGAGTCTTGAGTTTTCCAGCCAGGAGTGGGCTGTAATTCTGGCAGGTGAGCCCTACTGGGGCTGACCTCACCTAGGAGGTCAGGTTGCCAGGGACAATTTGGAGGTCCCCTGTAAGCAAGGGCCCAGGGATGATCCAACTGTTTTTGCTACAGGAAGCCATGAAGGCATCAGATGGCAGCCTCCTGGGAGACCCTGGGCAGACACCTCTGAGCAAGAAGGAGGGCATCAAGTGGCAGAAACCACGGCTCACCCGCCAGGCCCTGATGCAGTGCTGCTTGGTCAAGTGGATCCTGTCTAGTGCCGCTCCACAGGGCTCAGGTAGGGCCTGGTAGCTGGGGGTGAGGGCACAGGTAGGGGATCTACTGTGAGCTCTGGCTTTCTGAGGTTGCAGAGGACACCCTGTGACCCCAGCTGGGCCACGCTGTTAGAGATGTGTCTCCTTCCATCCACACCCCTCTCCTCAGTGAGTGCCTGTTCCAGAGCCCAGAGCTCTAGTTGGTGGTGGGAAAAGAGAGCCAGGCTACAGTCTGAGGGGCCAGCCTCCTCCTTCCTAGAGCTCACATGCTCAGTCACGGTGTGGGGGTCAGGGGGGGACAGGATCAGCCCATGAATCCTTTCTAATTCCTCTGTAAAAAGGAGATCCTGTGCCCACATACCTGGCACAATTGAAGATGGGCAGTGATATGTGCTAGGCCTGAGGGTGAGGAAGCCCTGTCCCTGCCTCTTCCTGGGTCCTGCTCAGTGTACCCACAGGCTGGTGCTGGCATTCTGAGGTGCTCCTAAGGGGACTGGCAGCAATGGCTATTGTGCTTGCTGTTAGCCATATTTGGCATTTGCCGAGCATGACTGAGCAGGAGATGTAGAAATAGCTTCATGCAGCCCTCACAATTTCACACACACATGCACACATGCTTCATACTCACACCTGTGCACACGTGCCTGTGAATACAGAAGCATGCATACTCACCGTGCTCACATGGGCACATCTCCCATACTAGCATATCACACACAGTCGAACAATCCTGGGCACACACACCATATACACTCATGATCACACAAAAGGCGTGCATGAGAGTCCACCAGTGACTAAGAAATAGGTGTACACTTGCCCTTGAGAGCTGCATCTTTTTTATTGTCTTGGACACTTTAGCTGTGTGATTTTCAGGGGTCTCAGTCTCCTTGTCTGGAGAATGGGAACAGTCAGGGTCCCAGCCTCCCAGGCTTGATGGGAGGGGCTAGGCAGGCAGAAGGCAGAGTGACTGGCAGCACTCCCCAGTGGCCCATGTGTGTGCCACTGGGACACACATGAGGGAACAAGGATGCCATGTGCCACACACCATCCTTTACCTGCAAACCCCATTCTAGGTTTCTTCCAGCATTATTCCAGCCCACAAGAGCCTTGGCCCATTTGTACTACTCTGTCACCTTTGGTTGACATTTGTCGGCAAACCTTTCCCACAGAAGTGTTTGCATACATGAGTACATGTGGGGGACCCTGTGAGCCCCCGGTTTCTCTGGAGGGGGGAGGAGGATAGGGCTTGTAGGTAGCAGGAACTTGACCAGCACATCTTCACAGTGCTGTGAGTTCTGCAGCAAGATGAAAATATTTTCCATCAGAGGGGAGTCATGGGGTTTGGTGTGGCCTCCCTGCATCTCAGGCACATAGGCTCACTTTTTAACTGGCACAGATTTGTTCCCCTCAAAACTCAGAGTCATTTCTGCCCTCCATCTCTCTGAGTTTTCTTTGTGGCAGTGAGTGTTTGAGGAGGTGTTAGAGAAGAGCCCTTCTTTTCCTCCTGTAGATCCAGTCTTACCTCTGCATCTCTCTGGCAGTGGGCTCAGGACAGGGCTGGGACTCCTGTGTCCCCTGGCTGAGCCTTTCTGCACACCTATGACAGCAGCAGCCTTGCTGAGTGTGGGTGGACAGGGAGAAGAGCCAGACAGAGATGGGCATGGCATGTTCACAGTTACCAGATGGGAAGAACCACACCAGCCTGTCCCCCCTAGCTCAGGACAGCTTCTTACAGGGTGGAGCCTTTTCACATGGCTCTTTGTCAAAGGCACATGGTAGAGGGCAGGGCCAGGATAGCATGGTTGGGTCTAGTCCTGCCTGATGTGTTGCCCTGATGTACGTGTTTACCAGATCCCACACCAAGCATTGAGAGCAGATATAAAGGACAGAAAAATGCCATCCTATTACATTGTAAAAAGTAGGCATTGATGGTTTGTCACACTGTTTTACTTAAGGGTCCATGGATGCTAGAAGAGGTCACATGGCTCAGCAGGTCACCCAGGGATCAGGACCCAGAAAGATCTCTGACCTTTACCTGTTCCAGGCAGGGCACTCCCAGAGACCCCACAATTAGAAGAGCCAAGACTCTATTGTGCCCTTGTCTCCCTTGGCTGTAGCTCTTGGCCTCACCTCCTCAGTCAAACAAGTCCTGTAAGTATCCCTCAAGGAGCTCCCCAGTGCAGCTACACTGGGCTTTGTGTGTGTGTGACATGCTACCTTGGATGCAAATGAAGCACCTCTGCTCCCTGGGAGCCATGGTCCTGGGCGCAGAGAACAATGGGTGCCATTCAGTGCAGCTCTGCCAGCACCCAGCCAGGCCCACAGCTGTATCCTAAGTACTCAGTGCCTGTGGCAGTTGTTGTTGGGATTTTTCCATTTAGCAGCAGTGGGACCAAAGAGACAGATGTCTGTGATGACTGAGAGCAGAAGCCAAGGCCCACTGAGGTGTTTCCAAGGTATGGGAAACTTGGGACCTTAGCAAGAAGAAGGTGGGACTCAGGGACCTGGAGAGACAAGGCCTGATTCGGCTGTGGTTGTGCTCTGGGTGGTGTCAGTGAGCTGTGATTGCGTCTCAAGGTGGGCATCAGAGGTGGCCTGTGAGATGAGCAGACCCAGGAGGTTGGCAGCATGGCCTCACCCCAACCAGAGGTGCCCATCCTGAGCCCAGAAGTTCAGAGCACCCTTCTCAGTGACACAAAACTGGGACTCTGACCTGTTCTACCAGTCTCCCCAGCATCTAAGGTCCTTCCTGGCAGGATGCCTCTCCTGGGGTGTGGCTGAAGCCACCAACTGGACAGACCTGCTTCTCAAGTCTGACTCCACACTAAGATTGGGGACTCTTCAACTGTCAAACTTGAATAACAAAATCCTCCCATCCAGTATCCTGGGGTCTTAGCTGCAGACAGCTGAATCTAGGCTGGCGGGGTTAAGAGAAAGGCATTGGTCTTGTAAGTTCACGGAAACTCTGGAAGAGCAGAGAAGGGGAGTGTGACAGTTACCACTGCCAGCTGGGAAATGCCTTACCTTCTAGGCTGTTTCTGAAGGAACCCTGGGGCAGTAGCCACACACAATCTGACCATTCGTAGAACAAAGGACACGTTCCCTTCCCTCTCCCAAGCAGAGACCCCCGTCCCTGTTTCTGGGAGATACTCAATCCTTCTGGGACTGCAATACAACCCCACGGAAACCAACAAGTCCCCACCACTGACAGCTCTCTGTGGTGACAAAAAGTGTGGGCACAAAAAGGTGCCCACACTTGTCTCTAATACCTAAGAACACATGAATACATACTAAATGAGTTTTAATGTTTCTAAAACACCAAGATACAACTGATACTATGTTTCCAAGTGAGATGTCAGATCAGACCCGAAAGTTCAAGGATTTTTCTGGAAACTGGTGATAAGGCTCTGGAAGCTGTCACCTCACCACAAATAGAGGACGTTAGATGGCTGGAGCCTGGGGAGGGATGATTGGCAGAGAAGATTTCTCTGGTAAAGGATGCCATGAGTTCAAACCCCCAAGTTGAAGGAGGGATGTTTTACTTACTTTTCTGTTCTTTATAAGTTAACAGCTGTTGTATTTCTCTTGTTTTGTGGGTGAGGCAGAACTTTGTATTCCATATCGCAGTTGTGATCATTTACTTACCATTAGCTGGTGCTGGGCCCGGCCAGAAGCCACTAGGAGGCTCCACTCACACATAGGTGGCTTTGGGCCTGTCTCTCCCCATAGGGCTGCTTGGGCCTCACAGCAGGGTGGTCTTGAGAACTCTGACCTCTTCATATGTGGACTGGCTTCCAAGAGGGGGCTTGAAAGAGACACTGCAAAGGCTCCTGAGGCCTGGGCTCCAGAATTGTCACAGTGTCACTTCCACTGCATTCTATAGATCAAAACAAGTCCTAGGTCAGCCCAGACTCAAGAGGAGAGCAAGTGAACTCTATCTGTCCATGGCTCTGTGGCACGCGTTGGCCATCTTTAGTGCACCACTGTGTCCCTAAACCCCCATTGCTTGAAGATGAAGGTCCTGTGGCCCTGCTCCGTGAGGCTGCTGTGAGCCCCACCACTGTGTCTGGTATGGTACAGTGAGGCTGCCCAGAGAAGTCGCTGGTTGTGAGATGGTCTTCTTGCCCCTCTCGGTGCCACCACAGTGTTTCTCCCTGAGGATCAAGATCACTGATCTGGCCAGCACTCTCTTATGCCCATTGGTCTGAGTGATAGAAAGATCCTGAAATGGCCAGGGGGCCATCTCAGCGTCCAGATCAAAGGAGACCCTCTGGTGTCGTGGGGAACACCTTCTTCCTCTTCGATCTAAATTCTCCTTTTCAGGGTCCAGAGTGTTGGAGGTGAGAGGCAAGAACACCGGGTAGGGCGGGGCTCAAGGGGCTGTCTCGCTTTCCTGACCCCTGGGCTGTTCTTTGGAGGAGGGAAAGCAGCATATTTAGTAGCATGGCCAACATCCGCCAGGACAGCACCTGAATCTCACAGGCAGTCCCAGCTAGACCCAGGCTTCCACGGCCCCTCTACTCTGTCAAGCCAACTGTGCTTGGGGTGGGCACAGGGGAAGGAAGTGGGGCCAGTAAGCAGTAACAGTGATGTGAATGACACCATTGTGGTGACGTTGGCAGTAGCAGGGTGACATTCAGTCAGTTCAATGAGGACAGAGTCCTTCCATGACAGAAGAGATGCAGAGAAGTTGACCTGCCACCTGGTGGCTGGCTGGTTGCTGACTGCCACCAGGTCACCACAGAGGGGACGTTCTTCTTTTAGTCAGCTAAGATAAATGGCACTTTGTTCATGGGCAGGTGCTGGGGAGGCCAGGAAGAGAGGTTACCTGATGTGACAAAACAGGCCACCTGCTTCACCAGCCTGCTGGGCACTTCTCACCCCGGGCAACCTTACAGTAGCATCAACAAAACCTATGACACCTCACTCCAGGTGAGGTCCTTCTCCTTGTTATCACTCCTCCAATCTTGTCCCCTCCACCTCCTGATCCCTGAACCAATGCTTAACATGGTCTGTGACCAACGTA